CAATAATGCTATACTCTATTGAGTATTATAATATAGTACTATACATACTATGCATTTATTTGGATTTTTTTTTCAGACTTAACTAATAAGCCTCATAATTCAGTGTTTATGGTTTATTCTGATGAAATTATTTGTTTATTCAGATTTATTTAAACAAACACATAATTTCTAATAGAAATAACAAAATGGAATGTCTGGTCAATGTAGATCATAATTATAGTACATCATGACAGGAGAGCTCATGGGCCAGTGAATTACAATCTCCTTATACAAATTCTCTACTTCAAATTGATTACAATTTTACCATTAAAATCTGACCCCTAAAATATGTATAAACAAGAGAGTTAGCTGTCACCATCTTGACAATCTTCTCAGTTTCCTAAACTCTGTAAACATTTAGACAAAAAAAAGATTGATCCTTACCCCCCAAACAAAACAAAACAAAACAAAACAAAACAAAACAAAAAACTTCTTCTATTTTGCTTTCAAGCCTCTGTCAGATCAGAGATTCTTCAAACTGGGTCCAGATGCATGGATGGAAGCAGAAGTTGGGAGACAAAAAATTACTTTTTAGAATCTCAAGTCATGCAAGTTGCTGTTCTTACATATTTATAAGCAATGTAGCGCCAAAAATGTCCCCAAAAGATTGTAGCCATGGACTTAGTCTCCCCTAGGCCCTGGTCTGGAATAAGCTCTTCCCTTCTTCCATCTGAGTGAAGAATTTTTTTACAGACAGGCTGCAAAATGTTTCTGCATAATCACAGAGCACTAGATCATGACTTAGGGTACATGCACATATATCTTACAGCCCTAAGTCAACTACACAGGTGTTACATTTGATGCACAGGAATAAGCACAGTTACATGCATGTTTACGCCTTCCCTAAAGCAGGTAGTTGGTAAATAAGGTCTTCCTTGACTTTCCTGTTCTCTACTCTCTGGGGATTAGCAAATTGCCATGCCCTAGGGCAAGAGATGATATTGTGCATTTCCAAACAACAGTTCTTAACCTGGGTTGATCCCTCAACATTGTTCTACCCCTTCCTATAGACTCTGTTCTTACGATAAAATCTAGCTCTTTTGTAATATGCCCAGTGCTATATGCAGAGATATGTGTTTTTCATGAGCATGAAAATTACCCATCCACATACTTGGATCTACCACCTCATAGCAGCATAGACAGATAGACAGCACCCCTCACATAGCAGGTTAATGAGACAAAAGAACACAAAGAATAAAAATAATCTTATTATTCAACTAAATAGGATACACTGACAATTTCAGACAGTATTTATGTAATTGTGGGAGGCATTACAAAGAGAAGGCTCATGGAGGCAGAGGTACCATTGTTTTGTTACACATCTTACCAACATAACATGCTGGGGGGAGGAGGGGTGTGACTATTTCATTTTTCAGCTAAGGGACTTCCTCATACCCTGATACATTTGATAGCAACTTCAGTTTACAATCTGATTTAAGCACCCAGAAGAGACAATGATAAAAAGATAGTTCTGCTGTCCCTAAACACAGCACAAAATCTCAACATAGAAAACACTTAGGAATGATGTCAGCACATTTGCTCTGTGCCATTGAAAAGTAAAAGCCTTCTCCATTTCCATTATTTATTAATTAGTGTAATTTGTAAAGTGTTCACTACAAAGTCCCCGGGCACTGTGCAAAGGATGAAAAAACAGCATCTCTTTAATGAGTAAAAGGCTTGCCTACAATAAAATGTATCCCTACATACAGACACAGAGAAAAAAATGTTATCATTTTGTTACGGCCTTGCAAATTTAGGTGTTACCCTGCTCTGAGGCCCAAAGGAATCAGGCTCTGGTGGGGAAGCAGATTCCATTACCAAGGACTACTCATAGCCTCTATTCCCTCCTATCTTTTAAGTTTCCCATCTCCAGTTTGACCTCTTTGTACTAGGTCAAAGGGCTTTAGCAGCATAAAGGGGCATCAGAGGAGGGCAGGAATCCTCAGCTACTGCTGCTACTGCTACTGCCATGGCCACGGCCACAGTTGCAAAGTGGTCTGCCTTCCCTGGCTTTTGCTGTTACAGCCAGTGTCCATGTACCTGATTGCTGCTCCAAGAGCAATCCCATTGGGCTCCTTTTGCTGCCAAGATATTGATGCTGTGGGGCTGGGGGATGATTCTGATGCCCTCCTAATTTGGTGCCTGGGGATCATGCCCTGCTCACCAACTCCTAGTTATGCTACTGGCTGAAGTACATAGTATTGAAAAAATTCCAAGGCATAATGTCATTTGTCACTTCGACCTCTAAGGGCTTTCATGATTATTAGGGGTGTGCAAAGTGGCCCCTATTTGATTCAGATTCAGATTCGGCCTGAAACAGGGACAGTGATTCGATTAATTGATTTGGATCACTGTCCCTGATTCGATTCAGTCAAATCTGAATCTGAAGATTCGATGCTGATTTGGAGAATCAGTGGTTTGGACGTAGACACAGCTTTAAAAGTTTTTTCTACATACCTTGAGGTAGCATACATGGCTTATTATTGCTGTGATGCTGAGGTGCATGGAGCGTCCCACAGGAGTGCGGGGGGGCCCTCCATGTGCTTGGCGGCAAACCTGGAGGTGAACCGGAACTACTTCTGGTCCACTTCCAGGTCTGCCAGGGAGCTCACTGGGGGCGGGTCTCTGTGTGCCTCCCCAGCTTGGCGAGTGGCTGCAGGGGGACCCCGGGTGCCCCCCAGCAGACCCAGGAGGCATCAGTCACTGAGTGAGGGGGTTGCAGAGGGGTATCCCAGCACACTTCCTGACGGACTTGGAAGTGGACCGGAAGTGCTTCTGGTCCACTTCCAGGTCTGTTGCCAAGCACACGGGAGCCTCCCGTGCTTCTGTGGGATGCTCCATGCACGCCAGCATTGCAGCATTAACAAGCCCCTGCTACCTAGACATATGTAGAAAAAACATTTAAAGCTGTCTCTTATGTCCAAATCTCTGAATCTTTCTGAATCTCTCCGAATCAACTTGGAGGGTTCCAATTTGATTCAGAGAGATTAAAGGGTCCTCTAATTCAATTCAGATTTGGAGATTCAGTCACCAAATTGAGCCAAATCTCTGCTGAATTGAATCAGGGACCGAAGTTTTGCACAGCCCTACTGATTATTTTGGGGACCTTTCCTGTCACTAGAGCATAGCATCAGGTCTGAAAATTCAGTTTTAGAGACTAGTAAAAATAGTACTACATATATTTAACTTTGAAAGCGATAATGTTTGCTTAGGGTAATATAAAACAACAGCAGATGTATGTTGGCAACAGAGAAATATTGCCTTTTCTATTTATCAAAGTGAAGTCCTCTTACCAATATCCTGCAAACCTAGATGGCAGGTGTCAAGGTATGAAGGTGCTGTTTCTAGTCAACACTTCCTGGAGTAAGGCATTTTCTATTAAAATTTAGTTAGTAAAATAAAGATTTAAGATATTCTTAGGTTCCTGGTAGGCCTGACAGTCTTGGGAAGTTATGTAGCCTAACAATTGGCATTTCTGATAATTCTTGGGTTGCTCTGCTTCTGTAATGGCCCCATAGGTTGAGATCTGTTAAACTAAGTCCTCTGTGGTATAAGAGGATGTGACTATTTATCCCTACAACTGATGGGTATATAGGATTTCAGGTGTCTGTAGTTTTATGACTAACTGTGATGGGTTTTCTAGGTTTCATATATTTTTGTCTGTAAAACTTGTCCTGCAGGAATCACACTTACAACAGCGCAAATTATTTGCCTATGCACTTAAATACCCAATATTCATGGACATATCACTTTTTATATCCAGTCACATGACCAATTAATTGCGTAACCAGCCAAGTGTATAACCAATTCAGATATTTGCATGAACAAGTTAAACTAATACAAATACTATATTTTCTTGCATACAGCACACCCCAGAGCAAGATATATTCCTTGTTTTTGAAAGGCAGAATAAAGAAAAGAAGATATTTCCATGTAGTAAGTAACTGAGTAAAATCACCTAGGGAGCAGAGCCTGCTCATTGTTCTGCTCTGTGGATGCATCTACATGAGACATCTATTGCAGTTGCCTAATTAGCTCTGCAGTAAATGACTCAATGTCTACATGTGTGGCTCTATTAGGCCACCGGAAACTAATTAACTCTGCTGCAGGATAGTACTTGTAAATTTGCTCTCCTGTAACTTAAATTCATCCAGTTTTGAACATCTGATATTATTTGTTCTATATTGATGGCTAAGGGGATATACAAGTACTATCCTGCAGCAGAGTTCTTTGCCATGCAACAACACGTGTGTAGATGCTGATAGGGCCAGATGGGGCACGAGGGGCCTTCAGGGTGGGGCTGCCTGCTGGCTAGCCCATCTCTGGAGGACCCTTGTGTCCCAGCCAGACCCTCCTCACCATGTTGAGCTGGGTTGGGGCATCCTCGGGCTGGCAGGCTGACCTCCTGGGCTCCCTGCCAGCCAGGGCTGCTCCAATCTGGTTCAGCATGCTGCATGTTCAAACAGTGTGCCCAGGAGCAATAAACTCCAGTGCATTATACACCACAGTTTATTCATGCATATGAACTTCACATGTAGATGCACCCAGCATGCATTATATGCAGTTACTTTCACTTTCACCAGGCAGAAGCTTAAGTAGCATAAACTGCTGTTACTCTAGTTCCCTGCTTATAGTATACATCTCAATTTCCAGCAGGAGGTTTCTGGAAAAAAGGTGCATCTTACATGTGAGAAAATATGATTGGTATCTTTGGTTGTAGTCAGTTAACTTTAACAATCTGACTTAGGTGTTGTGATCTGGAAAGATTACAAACATCCTCACTTTCTGACTGAAATATCTACCTAAAACTGAAATATCTACCTAAAACAATGAGGATTCTATTTTGAATCCTCATTGCAAGAATCATCATTGTTCCCCTCATTTCATCCCTCACAGGACATCACTAAAACAGTCTTACTCTCTCTAAGACATGCTATAATGTGCTCTGTGATCTCTTTTAGGATCTCCATACAGAGACAAGATCACTATAGCAATTCTTCAGCTTCAAGAAGAAGGCAAGCTTCACATGATGAAGGAGAAGTGGTGGAGAGGCAATGGTTGTCCAGAGGAGGAGAGCAAAGAAGCTAGTGCACTGGGAGTTCAAAATATTGGTGGCATCTTCATTGTTTTGGCAGCAGGATTGGTGCTTTCTGTCTTTGTGGCTGTGGGGGAGTTTTTGTACAAATCAAAAAAAAATGCCCAGTTGGAAAAGGTAAATATAATTTTTTCCCACTTAATTTTTTTATTGTTGGCTTATCAAAGCAGTTTTTTAAAAATTTTTAAACTTATCAAACCAAATGGAGGGCTGTTCTGTTATTTTATTTTTTCGAGCCTAGTATAGTACTTATGTAATGATGCTTCACAGCAGAGCACCTAAGGTTTCATTTTACAACTTTTAATTTGTTTCTAATATGTTTAATTGTAGCCAGCTTTCAGGACAAGTGACTATTTCTCCTCTTATTCAAGCCTGAAAAAAGACAGCTTTTTACTCCTGGAAGTTCACTGCAGTTAATTTAACGGATGAAGAAGAATTCTGAAACTGTAATGGGGAAAAATAATCTTCTACAGATAATTCTGATTTTTAAAGGCAAAACTATCCATCAGTTCAAAGTCAGAAGTCCAGAAAGTCCTCTATGTTCTTTCCTGGAAAAATTTACACCTTCAAAGTTGGCCTGGTAGCATCTGGAAATTATTAGGTTAATATGTTTTATGTTGTTCCACTACTGATTATAATTTGATCTCCTGTAATTTAAATTTATCCAGTTTTGAACATTTGATATTATTTGTTCTGTATTGACTGCTAAAGCAATCATGATAATCTAATTATTGATAGATCTTATATTTTCTTGCAGATTTCTTAGGAGACATAATCATCATCAAAGCTTAACAAATATTTATGTAAATATGCATAATAGGTAAAGTTGAACTAAAGGATAGTTCTTATTGAACCTTGAATTTACATCATAAAATTCAGGACAAAATTATCATTTTATGGGGTGGGTTGCATTTATGAGGAGCTTGTGTCCTTTATTAATCCCCATTTTAATACCTTATTTTATTAAAAGCAGTGGTAAATCCAGAATGCATATTTATATTGATATTTTTCAAGTGCTACTGGTGATTTTTTAACTTGAAATATTACTCAGAAATATCTAAATGCCTGTTTTTAGCTCTTTTGTGACTTCTGAATTTATACTGATATATACACACCCTTTTGAGTGCAAATACTTTATTTTTTATAAATGTTGCTAAAGCAAGTTTTGATATTAACCAGTAAGGCAAAATTAGGTTCAAGTTCCTAAACAAATTTGAACATGGGTAGGTTTTATTAAATTGTACTAAAATAATTATTAAAAGGCTAAATGACTATTTGATTCTTTTATTACTAGTAGTAATAATAATAGACAATTCGGTTCTGTTAACCCATATTCGGAGTATAGGACCTCTGAGATGAATTTGCATGGAAAATACTATTTATTTTAAATAATTTGTGTATATCATAGTGATATTATCCATGTTTTAAGCATTTACTTAATGTGAACATCAGTATATTTTGGTTCAGCCAGTCTGAAAACTTTTAAAATCTTCATGTACAGACATGAGACCAATTTGATGAGAATTTGTGTAACTTTAGCTTTTACTGCTTTGCAGGAAAGGAATGCATATTGCATCCTGTTTGATATTATTAGGTACAAAGCTAATTCATGTGCATCACAATGGCATTTCTGCCCTTGAAATAATGTCCATACTATGAATTTTAGTATATTTGGCTTTAGTGGGCCTATGTCAGTGATTCTCAAGCAGGGTGTCTTGAGGTACTGTCAAGGGTGTACAGGGTGCCATACAATATTAGCATTGTTAGCTGCACAAACACACATCACAAGATAAACTCACTGATTTAAAATATGAATCCATAGTTTTAGAAGCATTCTGACTTGGTGTGGTCTTTCTGAGTTCTTTACAACATAAAAATTGCTGTGTTATTTTTCTGTAGTAAAAAATGAGTGAAAACTAAGAGTTTGCATCTTCCAAGGGTGCCACCAGTTTAATAAGGGGCGCCTTAATCTAAAAAGGCTGAGAACCACTGGCCTTGATATTTTAAAATCATAATTTGCAGAAGTTGTGACCATTTTCATAAGAAATTTGTAACATTAAGTGTTTAGTGCTTTACAGGGATAGAATGCATATTTCATCTTACTTGTTGTTCTTAGGTATGACCCAATGCTTGACTTGTCCTTGGATATTACACCAAAAGAGCAAATAACTAAAAAAAAAGTCTCACCCCTTTTGTGGATCTGATCCTTCAACTCTTCTCTGTTCTTTTTTTTGTTTGTTTGTTTGGTTGGTTAGTCTGGCTTTTCTGTTTTTGAACTGTTACTTTAGTCCATAATAGTTCTACTTGGGGATTGGAGGAAAACAGAATAAAGCTCTATGCTGGTGGTTAAGTAAGCAAAATGAATTAAACAGAATTTAGCCTGTGACTAAACAACATCCCAGGATGACAAGAATGACCATTTGATGCTAAAACATATGCTTACAACTACAGCCATATCACCTGCTAATTAAGTAGGACACTGCATATTTTGTACTTATTTAGATGTAGTTTTCTGCAGCATAGTTGCTTGTCTTCTGAAATACCCATGTGCCCATGAAATGGCTATGTCCTCATGGACTCCTGTGGAAGTGAAGAGGTCTGCTTGCCTGGAGACAGTTTCAGAATAGAGACCTGTAAAAATGAAACTGAAGTAAAAAAATTTCCAGGCAAGATTGTAATGATATTGTTGGTACCATACTTTGAAAATGTATGGCAGAGTGGCTCTGATCTTACTTTCACCTAATTTTCTTGAAATGTGTATAATCTATTAGCTGAAAACTTTTTGGGTAACTGTCAAATGTCAATCAAGAAAATATATTTCTTCATTTCATCACAGCATTCTCCATTTATAGTCATTTCTGTTTTAATGACTTCGGAAAGCAAAGAAAACCTCTACTATGATCAGAGCAAAACTGTCAATCCTTGTTTATTTGTTTGAGAAACATCAAAAAATACCCCAATTCATGAAGAATTCACTAGTGCATCCACATCTGAAGAGATCAAAACCAGTAGCATATATGCTTGATTCTATTATCATACATACTCCAGTGAATGCCTATATGCTCAACTCATCCATGATTAGGAGGAACTGAACATCAGCTGCTTTGCGCCTTCAAGGTGTGGATGTATATCCATGCAGCTGGGCTCCTCCCAAACACCAGAGGACTGACTCTGGTCTGAGGAAGGGGTAGAGAGAATAAGAGAGGGGGTGTCTTCTGGCTGGAACACCTGTACGCTCCCTCTCTCAGGAACATTTCTACTTCTACAGATTTCTCAAGAATTTACAGCAATACAAATACAAACTTACCCATGTCCTTGAACAGCAACTCCCTCTTTATCTTTTGAAGATGCTATAACTATACATTTATCCATACCCCTTATAGATTAAAGACTGCCTCCAGCTCTCGCAAATCATCCAGTAATTTTTTTCAATGGAAGATTTTAGAATGAAATTGTGGCAATGTCCTGCCATTCTTCATAGCAGAAATTTGAAATTTTAGTACAAGCATGTGGCTAGGATAAATGGACACTGAGGTTTCCAGGCTCTTTGAGCTGCATTCCTATATCAAAATACAAGAGGGTGTCTTGTAATTTTTAGAAGGGAATTGAATGGCCAGATTTTAATAGAAATAACACATCAGAATGCTCACCCATTTACTTTTATTACAGGCTGTAAAAGCCAACAGTTTGTATTTTTTTCCCTATAGTTTATAACACAAACACATAATTATGTCATCTACTTGGAGACATGTTATTAAGCAGACCTTTTTATCTAAGACAATCTTGACAATAAATGCTCATCCATTTGCATTTTATAATTGCTTCTGTTGGTAAATGACCTGCTCCTTGATTGTAACCGTATGTTGGCACTTAGAGGGCAGTGAATAAGCTATTTAGGAAGCTAAACCCACTTAAAACAATTACCAGTATACCTTTTACTGAATCATTTCATGCACCCTGATTTACCCCATCACATATCTTTATTTTTATGAAACTCAAGATGTTTTTTCCTAAGTAACATTATGTTACTCTAAGTAACCCTAGAAAACAAATGTTGACTTTTAATTTGTTGGGTTTTTTTCCTATTCATAGTTATTTAAATAATAATACCTAATAATACTTTCCATTTGATATAATCCCTGCAGACTTTAATGACTAGTAGGGATGACAGGATGGGTACTACTGGAAGAGCTATAGTTAATATTTTGGAGGTGGTGGGAAGCAATTTGCTCAATATAAAAAGCATCTATTTGTTACGGAAGTCTTTAGAACGCAAGATATTATACAACCCTGTTTTATGGTGTGAGCACATGCAGAATGGGAGTCTTTTATATTCATCTACACCCTGTGCACTACACTGATGAGAACAATAATGGGCATGGGCTAGCAAAGAGGGAACAGAGACTTTTTTCGTAAATCCAATGCAAGTAATATAGGAATCAGAACGGCTTTTCCAGTTCATAGGCTGAAAGAACAGCTGTGTACCTGGACTCTAGGTCCTGGGTGTGTTAGCAACACACAAAGCTTGGCTACTTAGGATTTATTTAGGTGAAGTTAACATCACTGCTGACATGGGGTATAGTTGCCAAGAGCCTACTACAGGCCATTTTTACTGGGATACATTTTATCCACTATGATACAGAATACTCCATTTTACAATCAAACTCGGAAAACTGTTAGTAATCACTGAGCTAGTGCAAAGATTCACTTGTAGTCAAACATGAAGTGTACTTGCTCTAGGTCAATTGTTCTGTAAATGAAACAGCCTCACAGAAACAAATGTATTATTATTGGAGTGCTGTGAACATGCTATGTAAAAAGCAAAACATACAAATCGACACTATAAGCATTTCATATTCCAAAATTTAAGACTTTTAAAGATTTTCATTCTCTCCTACCAAGCCTTTTGGTAGCATTTTTTTCTCAAATTACACCAAATTATTAAAGTAATGCTCACAGTTGTTTCAGGAAACATAAAGAGAAATGAAATGAGTTATATAAACATTACTACAGTTCATACAATATCCTGATATTTTAATTTTTAACAACTTTGATATTGGGAAATGTTTTAGATAATATTTTCAAAGAAGATTGCTGATTTTTTTTTCCCTCAGTGG